GACATTTCAGCCGGCTTCAGGCCATGCCAGCAAGCAGCTCAGTCTAATTAAACAGACCAAAATGTAAATGCAAACACACAGCGAGACAGAGCGAGATAGCGACAGAAAGCGAGAGAGAGAGAGAGAGAGAGAGAGAGAGAGGGAGATAGTGAGAGGGAGGTTAGAGCTTTAAGAGTCCTATCAAAAGGCTAAAGAATGGCTTCTGAGTGGTTCTTGGTTCGATTCGATTGTTTTCGCTTCGTCATTCGACGATATTAAATCATATAAACTTAAAGAAAAATCACTCAGCTCTGCTCTCGTCTCCCCTTCCCCTCAACCCACCACTATTGCACTCCAATATCGCTGAGCTGCCTGCAGGCCGTGGAAACAGATCCAAAGCTCCGAAACAGAACAGAATCCGAACCAGGAAAAAACAACAAAACAAAAAAACATTACAAAACCGGGGTCCCATAACACAGATCCCATACCCTTTTTGAAATGTGCTACAAAACGGTTATAATAAGCTTGCTCAAGTTGTGTATCAGAATTATATATTGGAATAGAAATGAATTGAATAATTTGTTGCTCTCGAATGTCAAATGATAAATGAGGAATTTTAACCGCACATTCAGATGCAGAAGCTGCGTACAGGGTATCTGCGAGCTTATCATTTTTGCAATGAATTACTCTCGACTTGTTGATGTTGTTGCTGTTGTCTTTTTTCACTTTATTTTGCTGTTGAAAGGCCGTGCAGCGAGGTCGACGTCAAGAGCGATTGAGAGAGAGAGAGAGAGAGACAAAGGAAGAGAGAGAGAGAGAGAGAGAGAAAGAGAGAGGAAGAGAGAGAGAGAGAGAGATAGGGAGAATCACCTGTGGCTTGTCAGAGTATGAAAGGCAAATTTTAATGCCAAAATTGACAGGTAAAACGGCACATATGTATCTCTATACGTATATGTATATGTATGTGTGTATGTTTATATGTATGTATATATGTATGTATGTATGTATGTATGTCATCCAACTGAATGCTGGACCCAACGAAGCGTATAAGCCAGCTACGGCAAAGAGGAGGGGAGCCGGTGTTGCAAAGGGGAAGCGGAGGGGTATGTCAATGTAGCCAGGCACGCAGGCAGCATTGCTCGGCGACTGAGCCAATTGTGGAAAGCCACCCCCCCTCCCCCTCTCTCTCTCTCTCTCACTCTCTCTCTCTCTCTCTCTCTCTCTCTCTCTCTCTCTCTCTCTCTCTGTATATCTTTCTCTCTCTTTATCGCAGTCACTTCTATTTTGTTGTTGTCTTTCAGTTCACTATGTTGTGTGTGTGTGCGTGTATGTGTGTGTGTGTGTGTGTGTCCCTCGTTATTGGCAGATTAAGCCTCCTGTGTGCGTCTGTGTGTGCGTATGCAGCAGCAAAAGCACAAAAAAGCCATGGAAATAAAAAAGAATAAAATGGCAACAAATCAAAAAATATTAGCAGCATATTCCTTTTGATTTTTTATTGCGCAATGTTTTTTTTGCCATTGGCACACACACACACACACACACACGCCCATACACAAACACACACACAGACTGATTTAGTCTCCAAGGTAACACTACGTTGAGTGTGACCCTGTCCTGCGAACCGTAATTGAACTACTAAAAGGAAAGCAAAAAAAAAAAAAATCTTGATAAAAAATACATCAATTTAGTTTTAATCCTTTGAGTGAATCACAAGAGTCGGAATCCTTTTTTGTAAGTTGCTTTTGTAAACGGATTCAGAACTCAATATGGAAAATAAAATTGTATTAAATATTAGAAAGTTCAAACGATGATCAAAATATATAAATCAAACGAAGAAAATGTTGTTTAGCGAAAAAATAAATGAGTAAGAATTCAAATTAAAAGAAGCAAAGATTAACTTGTTTTTACCTTTCTTTTATTTTTTTTTTAATCTCAGAACCTGCTTAAGAACAGCTTTTTGTAAAAGAATTAAAATCAATATGCGATTCTCTGTCTGCTAATATCTCTTGAAATGTATCATGCAACAGAAAAGACGCTTTGCTTTCATTTGAAACATATTTAATGTTGCAAACTCTGATTTTATGTGGCACTCGTTGCTTATGAACAACAGCAACAGCAACAACAACAGCAACAACAACAGCAAAAGCAACAACAACAGCAACAACAATAACAATAACAATAACAACTACAATGCTTCGTGTGGAACAATGAACAATTGAGTGTTGCGTGCAAATTGTTGGCTGTGTTGAGTTACACCTCTTGAATGGGTTGGGTGCCAGGCGAAGGTGGGCGTGGCACAGTTAACGCCTCTTGTTAGCTTTGTGTGTGTGTGTTTGTGTTGCAAAGTTCTTTTCCATCTTGCCTTGTTGTGCTGTTGCTTTTGTTTATTATTTTAGCTGTTGCGCAAAAGTTGTTTGCATAAATAATTTCTATGCATAAGAAGCCTCATGTGAGACACGGAAAGCAGTTGTTGGGCGGTGAGGTGAGTCGAGGGATGGAACCTGGCAAACACACACCACGCAGCGAAATCATTGATATTTTAATGTAAAAACAATGTCAGCCACTTATGCCCCCATTCATGCCCCGTGTGCGTGTGTGCTGTCAGCATTTCACTTTAAAGCCATGGAAATTGAGCCCAGGCTCAATAATGATAAGCCATCCCTATCCCAATCTTACACCTGCCCCACCCACACCACCGCCCAACAAACCAACTCGGAAAGTTTTAGTCGAATGAGCTAAACGGGAGAAACTCTAGAGTAAGAAACACAAATATCGCCCGCCTCATGTATATATACATATGTATATACATGTACTCAACTGGAAAATACCCTGCAGGCTCCGAAGACATAGTGAAGATAATGCTGAACTAGGAGTATGTAAAGATACTTAATATATCAATATCATTTTTCATTTTTTTTCAGCTTTTGAGTAGCTGCAGTTGTTTGTTCTCGTCTATAGTCATGTAATTTTTTGCCAGTCTAGGCTTTAATGCTGTGTCAATAAATTGTACGCTGCTTAAGCATTTAATCTAAAATGAATTAAATTGGATGATAGGTGACTTTAAAGTGTACCGCCTCGTCCCCCATTCGCCCTTTGGGTGTAGCTGAAAAGACTTTTGCTTGTTTAATGTTGTTTCGTCAGTTTCCCAGACCTGCGTCAAATGTCAAAGTTTCCCAACTTGTATCGAAAGCAGCACGCTGAACATTTAATGAAATTGAAACAGAGCCGACAACCAAAAATACAGTTCATGCTACTTAATGCCGGAGGCATAGAGATCTCATAAACTTATCCATAAGTGTAATTAAATTTACGCATGCGACCTGTTGACTTTGCTCCTCTTCTTCTTCATCTTCTGCCTCATCTGTCTCATCGGTCTCATTTGCTGCTGCTGCTGCTTCTGCTGCTTCTTCTTCTAGGGGTTGATGATGAGCGCCTGAAAGTATGCTTTGATTTCTGAGTCGGGGCAAAATCAAAGCCAGACAACAGCTCAAGCTCTAACTGAGGGGCTGTCTAACAGACTAACTGACTGACTGACTGACTGACTGACTGACGGACAAACTGACGCACTAACTAACAGCCTGACAGCGTTGGCAGTGGGCGTGTCAATAGGCATTAAAACAAGCAACCAACCAACATTCGTGTGTGGTTGTGCCTAAGACACTCTCTTACTCTCCAGGGAATTAGCGCTAATTCACTTTTACGCGTCTTACAAAATTAATTGCGCACATTTCGCCAATCATACCTCCAATAATATACTCTGCCCCAAAAAAAAAAAGCAGCATGTTCCGCATTTAAAATTTTCACTTTTTCTTTTTTGCCATATTGCCATGGAATATTTTCTTCATTGTTCAATGCATCCTTATTGATCTTAGGCGGAACAACACTTTTCACACAATTTTCTTCCTATTATTGTATATAATGTATAAAAAAAAACGAAAAGAAAAAAACAATTCGCTCATACTCTAAAACACACACACACACACACACACACACACGCACACACACACGCACACACACACACACACGCACACACATCAATTGACACACTCGCTTAACGCACACATTCTAAGTGAGAACGTGATTGGGAATGAAAATGTCAACGCTGCGTCGCTCGTCTAACAAATTTACCAAGTTTGAGTACGTGCTGGCACACCTTTGCCACAAGCACTGACTTATGCTTTATCCTCATCCATAGAATAAGTCTGATATATATACACTCCGAAGAAAAATCCACATTAATTTTAGAAATTTACCATATCTTTGCCTTATCTTCAGCAAGTATATTTCTGATAAAAACCGAATTGTTTTTTTTTAATTTTCGTCTTCGGGGTAATTTTGCATAATATATGGACCAATTATTTTTCTGAGTGTATATACCAGTCAGTTACAGACGTTGTCCATCTGGCGTTTTTCGGGGTGCCAGCCACGCATGAGAAATCGAGGCCATCATCTGAAATGCGCATAAATTACGCACAGAACAGAACAAACCTCGGAAGGCTAGGAGAGGTGAGCCATGGAACACTTCGAGCAGCAAACTGTGTCTACTCAAGCATCTAATAGCTATGATTCAATTAGTTATCCTGCGGTCTTTCTCCTAATCAGGTGTAAATTAGCGTTGCGTCGCCAGCTTTTGTCCTTAGAGTGACGTGCAAGTTCACTTATAATTGGCCCCAAGCATTTCTACTTTGGCTAACTGCCTTTTTTTTTTAGCCTTAATATAGACATTGTCTTAAGTTTGCATACGATGTTTCATCATAGAATGCAAAGTAACAGATTGCTTGTCATTCCAAGAAAACAAAAAAAATTCTAACTAATTGGGCTTTCTAACAATGTGTAACTTTCTGAGGCACAAATATTTAATTATTACTGCCACAGGGCTGGGAGCACTTTTTAGTGTGAGTTGGGAACTGTTTCCTCATCTAGGAGCAAATGTTGCTTGGCAGGCCTATTTCAGATTGACTGATATGTTCCATAAGAGGAGGCAATAACGCTCTTAAGTTGTTTTTTCTTTACTTTTCCAATTATATTATTCAGATACTAGAGTTTATTTTTAATGAATATATTTTACGTGTAAGCTTCTCGCATACGCTGTCGACGTTGACGATCCTTCTCCTCCATATAGGGCATAATGGTTGTCTTTGTGGGCAATATGATGATAATGGGCAGGATATTCTTGCACTTATCCAACACATGAGCCAAACGCTTTGACGTCGGATAGTCGAGCAGTATAATGCCAATATTGCCCCCCTTGTACATAATAAGGAAAAATGTCTCAAGTTCCCCCAGCGTAGTGCCTTTGAGATGAATATGAGGCACATCAATCGATATAATAAGTTCTAAAGACTTACGTACTTGGTTCAACCATTAGATAGTTGCGAAAATTCTCACGATGATAGCCAATGCCAGCCAGAAATAAGCCCAGGGTTACCTCCTATTTTCAAAATAGTCAATAATTTGTATCAAATTATCGCAATCATTGCTGCGTTATCTTACTGTATCGGCGATGACACCGATGCGCATCACTGTTGGATCCTCGACCTCAACGGCGACCAGCACATCGAAATCCTCATCAGATCCCTCCTCTTTCGATTCGCTTAGGCTATTGACGATTGTGTCAAAACTCATTGTATCTGTATAATTTCGATTTTCGATTTTCTCTAAGCCAAATTAATAACATTTAAATCGGGGCACTTTGTTCGATGTTTCACTTGCCACTCGAAAATATAGTCATATCATTTACAGAACTTTGAGATAGTTTTTCTCAAAAACTCCAACAGAATTACTGTTCTTTGAAGCTCTTCTATTTTATTCAAAGACCTGACTTGTAATCAAAAAACGCCAGATAAACTTATACATATATTATATCTGCATATTTTTGGGTGAGCTTGTAATAAAGGGTACCTTATGTTCATTCAATAGTTCTCTCTCTCTCTCGCTCTCTCTCTCTCTCTCTCTCTCTCGCTCTCTCTCTCTCTCTCTCTCTCTCTCTCTCCGTGTGTGTTGTTCATTTTCAATTGCTTTTTAATGAGTTTTCAATAAATAGCAGGTTGCCCTGCTTCCACTCTCGACTCCTTCCAGAAATTATAGAGCTTTTGCACTCCAAGCCAAGGCTTAAGATGGAACTGGAACTGTAACTGCCTCTGGGATATCAGATCTAGGTGGGCTTTGTTGATGTCCAAAATTAGTTTACCTTAATTTTTGTTCTATTTTTTCTTTTCACTTGATTTGCATTTATCTTAATTATGAAATTTGCCGCTCGAGCTTGGCTGCCCCTACCCAATATCGACTACCCCTGCCACACTGCTGAGCACCAAAATGAAAATTCAATTATGACATGAGTTTACAGATTTAGTTGCTGTTGTTGCTGTTGTTGTTGTTGTTGTATTTGCTGTTGGCCCGCAGGCATTGAGAGCGTCTTTGTGGCCACTTTTAGAAAATTTATTAACTGCGACTTAACGAAAATTCGTTTACTTTTCGTTTTTTTTTTCGTTATTTTTTCGTTTTTTTTTTTTTTTGGGTTCCCCAGTTGATTAAGTCAGCTGCTCTCCCCGCTCACCCAGATCTGACTTGTACAGCCTCCCCGCCTTAAGGCCCAACTGCAAACACTTGAGCGTTTTTTGTGGTCCCCAGATGCCATCGATTTCCTTTGTCAAGTTTTTGCCATGTTAAGAACTTAACATTGATTGGCCTTCCTAAACAACTGTGCCTACTGTTCGCTTATGGCATGGGGTCTTAAGTGTTGTTTGTTTTCCAACTTAATAGTCTAATTTATATAAATAAAAACAAATGTAAAAAATTTAATTTGTAATGTGTCAAACAAGAACTGGAATTAACCTATTGAAATTCATAACCGGCATCAGAGTCGACTTACTACGATTTTTTCAAGGAACCAGTAAGCGGTTCATTATTTTTTATATTGAGAAACTATTTCTAAAAAAGGGAACATTCTTTCTAGTTCTTTTTTTCTGAGTGTAGCACCACTGTAAGTTAGAATTATGGAGCCGCTTACAGTTAGAAGCTTGAAGATATTTCACAATCTTTACCGGAGCACTTTACTTACAGCAATCAGAGAAGCAAACAACATTTAATTTCGATTTCAAAGACAAATAAAACTGAGATAATGATGTTTGTTCCACACCGTCTTATACTTAATATCAATTATTTCAATATGTCAAACTACAAATAAATATTGTAATAGTAATTTCTCCCATGTAGGCAAATATGTTCAACTTCAAATGAAATTCAAATACAGTATAAATCAAATGTTTAGATTGATATTGATAATATTAATGCCATTTTGGCAACTTCAATGATACGTTTTGTATTATATTACATTATTTCGTCACATATAAATGTACAATTTAATATTAAAACCTTGACGACCCAAAAGAAATAAAAATGAAAACTGTTTCCACCGTGATTTTTCATTAATTCCAAACTTCGGAAAACTTTTGCTCCCCAGAGTTTTGCATTAGATTAAAAAGAGCGTTAATATCAGTTGTCGCTTCGGGGAATTAACAAGCTCTTCAATAACAATCTATAAATAGCTGGTGCGCCTCGCTTAGTTGCTTATCAGGTGAAGGACTCCCCGATATGGCGACTTTCCGACGTTGAAGGTCTTATTTAATGTACCCACAGTTGAAACTCTCTGTGTGTGTGTGTGTGTTTGTGTGTATGTGTGTGTGTGTGTTTGTGTGTGTGTGTGTGTGTGTGAGTGTGAGCAATCAGCCTGACCGTAAGAGGAAACTGTGAGGCAGACAAGCCAACATGCCGACAAGCTGACAAACTGGCAACACGCAGTCAAAGTTCAAATTGTATTTGTTCTATTTTTGCTGTGGCAACTCGACAAGCGGCATAAATAAGTTAGCCAACAAATGTTGAAAAGCCACTCAAATTACACCCACACACACACAATCAAATCAAAGAGTAAACAAACCAATCCACGGCCAAATACCCTAGTACTCTAGAATTTAGACTTAAAATCGTAAATATTCTTTTCAAATTAAATGATATAATTATATAAAATACGAGTATATAAAATGCTTGTTTACGTGAAATCTTAGAACACTTATGTTAATTAATAATATAGGCAACAACAAAGCGAATATTAGAAAAAAACATCGTAAGAATTTGGCAGATTCTTTTTCTACATTTTAGAAATATATACCCCAAAATTATGAAAATAAAACATTAGTTTTTAGAAATAAGGCCACAATGTACTAGGCCCATACAGCCTCTATCAATGTACAGCATTTGATATCATTATACTCATCTGAGTATATTACTCTATATACATACATACATTTATATTGCATGCCACAAGCACAAATTTTGAAATATATATGATTATTGTCTGGTATTCAAGAGTCTGCATTTCAAATTGGCCAAAAACTCTCAACTAAGGTCTGACCAAAAAAGAGCGAGATAGAGAGAGAGAGAGAGAGAGAGAGAGAGAGAGAGAGATAGAGAGAGGGAGACAGATAGAGTAATGATAGATTTCCCTTAACATTTGTTGTGCCATTCAAACAGTTAAACGTAATGCGATTTGCAATCATTTCTTCACATATTTGGATGGCATTTTATTTTGATTTTTGGCATGCATGGAAAACAAAAAAAAAAACCCAAAGCCAAATTGACAGGCGCCCTTTGGGGTCTTAGACCCAGGGGGTAGGAGCAGTTAGGCAACTGAAAGTCATCTGGATTTCGATTTGTATTTCGATTTCAATTTAGCTTTCAAAAGCTAAACAATATACGATAAATGCCAAAAGACTTGGTCGACTTCTCAGCAACTAAAAAGCTGAAAATCTTAAAGGGTGCTTGTTGTTGTTGTTGTTCTTGTTGTTGTATGTCGTAGTAGTAGTTGTTGTTATTGGTGTTTGAAAAACTGAAAGGAAATTGAGGGGAAAGCCCAAAACAAATCAACCGCACACACACAGATACACAGCCAAATACCTCCCCCCACACACACACACACACACACACACACAAAAGCATAGAGAGGCAGCTAAATTATTACGTTCAAAGTGAATATTACGTTAACCATAACATGGGTTCGTTGAAGGCGACAGAGAGACAGAAGGACAGAAAGACAGCAAGACAGCAAGACAGCAAGACAGTAATACAGAAAGACAGTAATACAGGAAGACAGTCGGACAAATAGGCAGACAGTTTTGGGGTAGAAATTACACAGTTACAGCATCAGAGATGAAAACATTCTGTGAGCTGTGCACTAAACTTTGCTTTGCTTGTTGGCATTGTCTGCCTGTCTTCTATTGACAGAGCAATAGCAACATCAACAGCAACAGCAACAGCTACAGAATATTATTATTATTCTGTATAGTTGTTCATTGGCAGTAGCAATGGCAACACAGACGCCCAAACAAAATCCAATTCTATTTGATGTGACATCAAAGCATGTGATAGGGGGTATTTAACTTGTCTTTAATAGATACATCCAGCTCGCCAAACCAAGAACTTTAACTTGAGACAACCAAACGTTGAATATCTTATGTTGCAAGTGCGTTCGGTAAAATAGAAATAAAAAGCAACTGCAAGTTGTCGCAGTCGCTTGTCTGTTATCTGTCATCCATCATCTATCATCTATCATCTATCATACATCATCTATCATCTGTAATCTGTGTCTGCAGCGCAGTCAGGAAACAAAATTCCCATTCCCTTATATTGCTCGACAACAATAGGTTGCTGTTTGGAAGCTTTATGCATTTACACACACACACACACACACATCACCCGCTGCGTTGGCATTAAAATGGTTTGCAATTTTAGCTGCAAGCAACCAAAATTGAATGCAGTCAAGAACAGGAGCAAATGTGTGTGTGTGTGTGTTTGTGTGTGTGTGTGTTGGCCAAATGTGGTGCAGCTTTAATAAACGCGTGGCTTGTTGGCTGGCAAAAACCATTAATAACTGGCCTGCACCTGAAACGCAGCACAAAAACAAAGCTGCCAACAGTGGAATAGACCCCAACGGCGACAGAGAGAGAGAGAGACAGAGAGAGTGTGCGAAGGCGGGATGGAAATGGGGATTAAATGTCTGTGTATAGTTGTGTGTGTGTGTGTATTTTTGGGTGTGTGTGTGTGTATTTTTGGGTGTGTGTGTGTGCGTGCGGGTGTCAGATGGTAGGCCAAACCATTTCTTGCCATTTGCGGTGCAGCTTTTCCACACAGCGGATCATACATCCACACACACACAGACACATAAAGCATCTATATAGACTGTGACTATACCCTGTAAATAAATTGTAAATTGTAAAATGTCTGCACAAATGTAGCTGTAGTTGGAGCATCAAGCATACTAGAAAACACGTGAATCGTAATAGACTAGTATTACAATTTATATATTTAATGCTTTGCTGTGATTTTAACTTTAGCCCATTAAGAATGGATAAAAAGGTATATATATATATCAATCGGTATGAGCTAACTAATCTCAAAGATCTTTAAATTTGGAATATTGGTTCCCATATGCCGCCATAGTCAGATCAAGTTTACTTTATTTTATCGATAAGCCACGCCATATTGCGATTATCGATCCGATTTTCAGTAAATGTAATATTTTCAGTTGATCTATAAAATACCCATACACCTGTAAGAATGTCATTAAGATCGGATAGAAGTACAGATTACGT